AGCTGGATAGCTTAGCATATATCATTCCGGATGGCACCTGGAATGTTTGACAAGGAGGCTAGCAATGACCTTAAACAGAAGTCAGCCACATCTGCAGAGATCAAAATAAGCTGATGACTGACCAGTTTTGCTACGACGACGGTTTAGCTGTTTTAGTATTACTGTGTAAAGCAACAAATAAAGAGCTGTTCGTCAGCTTTAATGTAGTTATTTGTGGAAGTTTTAACAATCGTCTACAGCGCGTTTTTATTGGGTGTTTCTAATATTCAGTCCACCCCACATCTAAATGGGGTTGAGTAAAATGTTAGGGACATCTCCTAATTTAACGAACAGTTGAACACGAGCGATATAATATGACCATGGGATTTATTGCATGGTTGCATTGCATTTGTTTTGGTCGAATGTAAACTAGCAGTGCATGTAAGGTTTATTTTCCATATAACTTAATGTGCACACGACACAACCGTACACTCAGTGGTCACTACAAGTACATCTGTAAAATTTTATGCAATCAAGTACACAAATTCTACTTATGCTCAGTTTTGACACACACTGTCAGAGAGGTGTCAATTTTATAAATGAGGTTGTAGTTTGCAGGAGTTTTAAAATTGTCTGCTTCATGTTGTGCTGTTTCTAACTAACCTTGGCCATAAACATAAAGTTGAAACCTGGTTCAAAGTTTGTTGTTATCATGATTTTGATTTTGGAGTGCCCTCATGGAGCGATAAAAAAAAAACAATTTAATAAACACCATCTTCCATGTGTGACAAAAATGTTTGTTTTTTTGTCTTGGTTTTCTTGACAAAGTATTTTATGTGTATATTGCTTTCTAAGACAATCACACTAAACTAACTGTATTTATTTTAATGACTAAAAATTGTGTCTTGTGCTTTTTGTAGGGTTGGTTGGTTTAAGTGTGAAACAGAAATTAGTGCAAAATGTTACTCGGTGTAACCAGACTGCTCAGAGCCTTAATCACCTGCACAGAATTGAGCCATCAAGCTGGCTGACATACCAGCATCTCAGCTTCCTTAAGCGCCAGGTAACTTTCACTTTAGCAGTACATTTCCACATTCATTTTTATTGTCATAACTGTAAGTTATCCCACAAATCACCTTGTCCACTGTTTTCCTTTCAGTATGTAGCAAAGAGCAGCTGTGAGCTTCACCAACATGCTGCCCCAAAACAGGCACTTGTCCTGACTATTGTCGATGAGAGGGATGACAGAGTTGAAAGGCGGGAGCATAGAATACCGACTATTGATCCAGTGGTCACAGACGTGGAGGCACAGCCTAAAATTTCCAACTTGGACCCCACTACAGAAGATGTGGCAGTACAGAAAGCTTCTATATCCAGTACGGTTATGACTTCAGATGAGACTCCACCTCTCCAGGTGGAGATGGATGAGATGACAGAGTCACATAAAGAAAGACAGTGGAAGCAGCTGAAGCTTGATGTGTCTGACTTGGGGGATATCTATGCCAGACTTGCCAAAATCAGGCTTACAGGTAGAGTGCACAATACATCTGGAATATGTCATACAAATAGTCACAGATGGAAGTTACCTGAGTTTTGCGCTTTGGTTGTTTTTTGAGACGAGGCTCAGTAATGTTTACGGCCTGCCGTGCTGTTGCTCCTGTGTTGCTCTGTCTACAGTGATGTAACTAAAAGTGTAGCAATTCACTTGACAAAATTTGAATAAGCTTCTCGACTGATGCATTTGAATCCAGTTCAGAATCTGCTTACCAAATCAGAATCCTTATGAAACCCTTGTCAAATCTGTTTATAAGTAGTTTGCTTATTTTACTCAGCGGAGTAACAAAACTGTTTTGTGTAAGAAAAAAAAAAAGTTATAACTTAATATTTAACAGTCTAGCTTTTTCAATTCATGTTAATAAAACAGTTTGTTGTTTTTTCATTTGATTTAAATACAAGTCACCAGCACAGCCATGAGATTGCATGATAAAAACTACAGTTTTTAAACTACATTTATTATCTAACCTAAACCATGGACCATGTACTGCGCTGAAGCATTGTAGGGCCTTCACCACATACGTTATCAGTGTTCTCTCATTAACATTCTCCTCACTTATTTTTACTTTTAGTGTGTTTGCTCCTCACTGGGGACTGTGCTGTAGCTGCAGAAGCTGTGGAAGCCAAAAATAAAAATGATGGTGAAAGTAATATGGATACTACTTTATGATTCACTGAATATCAGTTAAATGAAGTGCTGAGGTTTTGCATATACTCTGCACTTCACATCACTTGATGCTAAACTAGTTGTTGCTCTGCTATAGGTCACAGAATTTGACAGGTTGCAAAATGCAGTGTAACACTGAACAGATCGGAACCAAATCCAACATGGAATGTTATTGGAGCCCACCCCCCCCTCCCCCTCTGAAACTATATCAAAACTGGGTGAATAAGGCAGATGGCTGTTGGGATGATTAGCCATAATCTGGTTAGAACAGTACGGTCGAGCAAAATGTCCTAGCATTACAGAGTCAGAGAAAACAGTCTTTAGTGTTATTCATTTGGTGCGTGAATTCTTTGGACTGTTGTGGTGTTGCTAGCCATTAATAAACTGTTTGTTGGTTCATGCTTGGGGCATTGTCACACGAGACAAGTTCTGCAGTATAATTCACTAACTGCTTCTGTGCTGTTGCTCAGTATGTCCTAAACAACCTTTGTTTTTGCTTAATGTGCTGCTTCCAGTGGAGCTTTGGGCCTGTGGGGAGCCTGTAGTGTGTATAGCTACAGTATGTGGAGAGATTATGAGAGTTATACTGAGCATACAGGTCCAGGGATGGATGTGTGAATTGCATGTGTCATGTGGTGTCTTTTATTAAATTGATTTAGTTTCAAATGCTTCAGCACTCAAGGCATGCTTTCAGCTTCTTAGCTTAATGACTAAACAAATTTTTCATACGAATAGTTTGTTAAAAGGCGGTTCATCTTGCACTAGGATGAATTATAATGTATAATGTGTCATTGTTCTCATTCTGTTTATACTGAATCACATTTATACAGCAGCAAAGCATCACACTTCCAGTGCTCTTTACCTGTTACTTCAAGAAGAAAGGCTTAAAGGACACGTTTAAATTCCTGTTCTGTAATCTTTGGTGATTTCAGCATTGGTGGTTGCAACTGCAGCAGCTGGCTACGCAGTGGCTCCTGTTCCCTTTGACCCAGTTGTCTTCTTCATGTCTTCTCTGGGAACGGGCCTTGCCTCTTGTGCTGCCAATTCAATAAACCAGGTGAGTTAACCTCAGAACAACGTCATACAAAGCCTTGCATGTCCATTTCACTATGGAGGAGTGTGTGTTTTGTTTGGCTAATCACAGCACAAGCCATCTTAATCACCAACTCCATGTTATATGATGAATGTCAATCGGCCTTCACTGTTTGACCATGGAGTTTAATCTACACTTCTTTGACGCTCTGGTAATAAAAACAGAACATTGTAGACTTCTCAAAGATAAGAGTTACTACAGGATTATACAGGTGTATCCAATAAGCTGTCAACTCTGTGTAAAATGAATTATTAATCACAGCTAATTTACCCAAACTACAAAGATTCCAAAAAGCAAAAAATATAAACATGTGGTTATGCAGTTGTTTCAAGAATTACAGTAAACAGTGCTGATATTTCTGGTCTTTCATTTGTTTATTTCTAAGTGCCAGTTACTCTTGGAAAGAAATTAGTAATGACTCAGAAGTGACAAGGTTATAAAATGTATTTAAGTTTTTTTTTTTTTAATTGTTGTACACCCTGAACTTGCTTGTTGGCAGACACCCACGTGCACAGTTCTTCCCCTTAGTGTTCCCTGTGATCAAGAAAATGCTGAGAGCCACTTTACATTCCCCTTTTGCTACTCATCTCAAAAATGCATTGAGCTGACTGCAATGCTGTTATTATTTCCCTACTGAAAGCTTTTTGAAGCTTTAAACAAAGGAGAGCGAGTGTGCACTTGTGACACTTAAAATACCTGGAATAAGTAGAGCCTTCGTATAGCTAGTCTAGTGTTGATGTTGTACATCAGAAATTGCCCTGTGACTTCAGAATATTGGAATAATGGGTAACCTGTCACTAAGCCTTGGGTTGAACTCTGCTTTGGCCTGTAATTTGGCAAAAGGCCTTGAGTACTCTGTAGGTTCCTGTCCTGTGGGCAGAGCCCTACCCTCCACAGTCTTGCTCCAGCTGCTCTCTATAGTTTTACAACAGTAATGAAGCACTAAGTCAAACAAGCATAGTTTTTACTAACAGTGATCATCCTGGACCTGAACTTGCCTCTGTCACACAGGGCAGTCTGACCCTCCTGCATGTTACCCAGGGGTTACATCTCTGGATACAAATGTGCTAATGTTGACACAGTCTTGTTTTTGTAGTCAGGCCTGAATAGTGTTAGTCCATCGCTCATGTTAAAGTTGTATTGTCACTGAAACAGAGCTGTGCTCCAGCTTCTCTGTGCACCTTTACCTCACACCGAGCAGGTGTGTAAATATTCTTCAGGTATTTGAAAAATGCCTCCTTCCCCTCATGTCAAAGAAAGGAGCCCAGACTCAAGGTCCAAGACGTGGAGAGCGTTGAGTGATGTAGCAGGCGGCAACCGCTGTTCATAAGTTGGGTGTAGGACTGTGTTTCAGTAGCTGGTTCCCAGTTGGTTTGTGGCAAAATGCATCTCTTTTAATCTTTCATTCATGCTTGCTGTTTAGTTTAGTCTCACTGGACATTCAGTCTTTGACACAATAGACTTCAGCACATAGTAAAGTCACATTTTGAATTAAATTTTAGCATTTTTTTACACTAAACTTAAATTTAAGGCAGTATTTGACAGAATTAAGCAGCAATAGTCGGGTTTTTTTCTGTCCTAGCATTTAAAATATTTCTTTGTTAAATGAAATCAGACCAATCATAAAAGTTTGTTTGAAGTCATAAAATGTTTTGATGTGTTATTATGTAAAAGAACCTTCTAGACAGATAACAGTGACTTAAAGAAGTTGGAAGATAAGATGGTGGTTGTTTAAAAAGATTGTGGTGTTCATTTTGCATTATACAGTGTTCTCCTGTCAAATGCATGGTATTTTGGGAACACTTCACATTGTTTCTGTAGATAAATACCCAGTGATCTGAAAGAAGATCCTGGTGGAATTTTACATCAGCTTTTCTCTTTGTTTTCATAAATGCTTTGTCTCTGAAATTCATCAGTGCTTACTGTCTTTGAGGCCAAGAACTCTTTTTTTTTGTGGCTAGTAGCTGGCATGTTAGCCAGAGCCTTCACACAAGTTGGATTGATTCTGCTTCCTTGTCCCTTGTTCTGTGTTGGACAGGGTGTGTCTTAATTGGCAGGAGTTGGCCATGGGATTATTGTTTCAGACAAATTAGTCTCCTGTCATGCAAGGGATTTATGTTTAATTTAAAAGGATTAATATAATTTGAAATGTAAACTTGGTTGTAGATGGTAGTGTCTTGTCTCCTCTGCTTGCATAGTATGAAAAATATGCACCTGTCTATAGTAGTTGTTGGTGTTTCTTTGCTTGGAGCAGAATGTCGTTTTCACAAGAGGCGTCGTGTGTGACACGTAACGTCCTGTTGTGCTGTCACTATGTGTCACTATGCCAGTGTAGTCTTTACACCTTTTTGCAGTGGTCTAACACGCACAGGATCGTCTGTCGTGTTTTTGTCAAAGACACCTGTGTGTACTTGATCTCAGCACTTTGGTCACCCATTCATTTTTCATCATCTCAAAAAGGAAAACATCCTACCTTCAGATCTGCTGCCAGAGCTATTTTTCCTTTTACTCCCTTTCATCTTAAAAATTGGGGCTTCATCATTAGTGTGGTTAGTTGTGATCAAAGCTAGATGTCGTTTTATATGAAAATTCAGAGAACAGCTTGACAAACAAAGCCGAGAACGACCCTTGTGAAGATCACTTCCTATGGATCCTGCTGCTCCACCCTAATCCCTTAATGCTCTGCATTTAAAGAAGTAAAGAAAAGGAGTGTGCAAGTATATGACCACACAACCGTCGAATTACCTAGAGGAAAGGAGGAAAATACCTCGAGGGGGGGAAAAATGCTTTGGCTTTTGGAAGTGGCAGCCAGACCTTGAGTGGAGCTGTCAAAAGCCAAGGCTGCTCTTTGTCCCAATGGGAGGGGCCCACAGGGCAAACAGAAATGTTGTGGTTTCTTTTTTAAATGTTACTCTATTTAGGAAGCTGACGGAAGGGTGTAAGCCCTTGGAGTCACGAAACAATGGCATGTCACTGTCTAGAGTTTCTCACCACAGTCAAATGGCTTAATGCTGTCATGTCTGTCTTGCAGTCAGAGAGGACAATCGGGTCCAACAGCAAGGGATGTAATTATTTGAGCTTCCAGTGCCAGTAATTCTCTGGGTAGGCAATTAAGAACATTTCAGAACTTAAACACTTGGTTAGACTGCCATTAAAGCCTGTGTGGAGGCGTACAGTTGAAAAAGTATAATGCACTGTAGAGAAATAGCACCGCCTGCTCAAAGTCTCACTGCAGAGTTCCTTCTATTCCTGTCGGATGGACTCTATCTAACTTGTGTTAGCTGAAAAATTCAGGCCCCACACCAGGCGCTGCCTCTGCAGGTGTTCCAGCCGTCATCACCTTCCAGTCTGGTCACTACTTCAGCTAATTGGATAATTGGCTCAGACCAGAGTTTTAGTCTGGAGCCTAAAAGACCCCAGGGAAGTCTGAATTTCCGAGCAGTGTAAACAAGACCCAATATGGCCTTTTACTGTCAAATAACTGCTGCTCAGCTGTTTTGACAGCAGCTATATTGTAAGTCACACCATGTCTGCCTATGTGTTTGTTTTGATGAAAATTCAAGCTGGCTTCTTTGTGGCTGCCTAGTATCGTTTCTACTTTTGTGACGATGGCAGTAAGTTTTCTTTTGTTTGTCTCTCTCCTGTGGTGAGCTGTCTGAGGCTGGCACGCATAAATGAGTCCCCACAAGCCCCCAGCCCATCCACTGCTACCACTTCAAGCTACACCCTCCTCGCTTGTCCTGTGCAGGCATGCGTTATTTACCCTCCTGCATGCTTCCTTCTGTGTGCATCTTGGTCAGGCCCCTTGAGTGTACATGACTGAACGTGGGGACAGGTTCTGAAGATAGTGGTGTTATAAGGACATGATAACATGCTTGATTTAGTTTTTAAAACCCTTTTAGGTGTGTTACAATACAAAATCCCAAATCCTTCATTATACTTGCTGTATATGATTTTAGGAATGTAATCTGTAACTGAACCATAACAGCTGTGTTTTACACACTTAAGCCATACAAAATATTTAACATTTTTGACAGTGATATTTCAAAATATATGCATAGATGCTTTTAATCAGTGTCTAATGGGAGTTCTGCATCCTGTTTACACATTGCAGTGCCATTATATAAACCCTCTGCTTCTAATGGAAACTCATGCTTTCAATTTAAAAGCATTGTGAGGCTCCTCAGAATATAAGGACACCACAGTCTACTTCAAACACGTGCTGTTAAAATGCACATTTGCTCTTACAGTTTATCTTTATCTCGGATATCTATCTTTATATTCTTTATAGTGGCATCATGTTAATCATATTTATCCAAACAGTTGAAGGTGAGATTGGTGTGCTGCTGCCTGAAATGTGATCTGAATCAAGCCTGGACATTCCCTCTCCCTTTCCTTCCCCTGGAGGTATAGCTAGTATAATGCATAAACATGTGTTTTTTCTTTTTTTACTGTGCTGATGCAAATTTATAAGCTGGTCTTGGTGAAAGTTTGCCAAGTTGCACCCTTTACTGTAAATTAGTAACATCAGCATAGTGAAATCTCTATAGTACCATGCAGTCTAAGCATTAGGGCTGTGGCATATTTTGAAAGGCAGAACATTTTATTTGAAATGAAACACTGACTACGGAATTCAGTTAAATACTGACTCAGCTTTACTCAGATCCACCTCAAATGACTTTTGTATAGGTTGCAGCCTGTTCTAGGTTCAGAGAAAGTACAGCAAGTAATCAGACATACTAATGTAAAATAAAGTTGTCTTCTTTAACGCCCTTATGTGAAAAATGTTTATACAGTCATAACAAACTCCTCATTTTTATACAGTTGATTTTCATTCTCCTTGAAAATTACCCCTCACCATTTCTATACTAGAGTCCATTTGATGAATTAGAGTGGATACCTTCAAAATAATCCCTATAGTGAAGGCATGCTGGGTTGGAAAGCTTCAGTGATATCCTAACATG